GCGGGTGACGGCGGTCGGCGACGCGGGGGTGACGGCTTCTCACTTTAGCGGCTTCTCACATGCGGCTGCTTCAGCTAGCCGGTCACTCCTCAGCTGCTTTGAGGGAGAAACAGAAGAGGGGCTTTTTTTCCTTAATGGGATAAGGGGGAGGTACATACCACACAAAATTACCACACTATTTTTATTTTTGAATTAGATGGGGAAATATTGGATTTAGCGAGGGATAAGTCCGACTCTTTTGTGTTTGATACTAGTGGGGGACTATTCCGCCTCTAATTCGAATATTTTTTAAAAAAAATTTAAATTTTTAATTCTCCCGCTATTTTTTATTTAACTTTAATCTCCCGGTAATAAAATTGAAATTTATTTCAATTAGCTACGAAACTAGAGGCGGAAATGTTACCCACTAATAAAAATTTAAAACAGAGGGTGAATATTCCGCCTCTGCTCTGCAGCTAATTAGAGGCGGAAATATCCCCCTCTATTTTTTTTTGCAGCTTTTACGCGAGATTCTTGTAGTGTCAAGTCAAACTGGACAAACTTTAAACTCCAATTACACTCAATTTATATTGCATATTAGCATAATAAAATACAATTTTGAAAATTCTCAATACGATAAACCCAATAAAGTCATTTTTATGTTAAAATACATTATGATTTTTATTTAATTGAAGCTCAAAGTTTGTCTAGTTTGACTCGAAAAAGTCAAACTGAACAAACACACTGGGACGGAGAGAGTATTGTATAAGAAAGACAACAGAATCAGTTTATGGTGGCCGCCTTGGACATGTTGAACATGTGCAGCCTCCAAATTTAAAACATATAAAAAAATAAAAAAAAATTATTCTTTATGTAGGTTTAATTAAGAACATATTTTTGAAAAGAAGTATGTACTCCTTGATTGATAGTATATTCTTTAGAAAAGACAAAGGAGGGGCGATAGAGATTAGCTTTAGCATTTTAAATAAAATTTTAATGGTACAGATTACTTTGAAAACGCTAACGATAAACATTGTTGTAGATAACTTTTTCAAAAACTAACGCTAATCTCAAATAGAGCCCACATATTTGGGTTATTTATAGAATTTTGGATGTTTTGCAATTTATAAGTTGAAATGGTGTTTCTTAAAAAATGAGAAAAGAAAAAAAATGGAGGTCAAACGATTGAAGGTAAATAACAGTGGAAAAAAATACGAAGTATTGAAATTTATGTCTGAGCCCGGGTTCGAACCGGGGACCTCTAGTGTGTGAGACTAGCGTGATAACCAACTACACCACCCAGACCCTGTTCTTGTGTTTTCGATTAAATTTTAATATCAATAAAAGAGCATAAAAGCCCTGACGGCCCAATCATCCAGTAGTGGGAAGCGTATGCGGCCCAATGTGTTTAGCAATTTGGGCTTCTCCAATTCTCCCTTTTGTTTCAGTCATCAGTATGAATTTAATTTTGAATGCCCTATGATTTGTTTCACTCTTAAGGGTATTTTTAGCATCTCTATTAGTGTCATTTGACAACCATCTAATCCGATGAATGCATAGATGAGTTTGAGAAGAGCGTTTTCAATTAGTGTTAGTATTTTTGTTAAAATTTCAATGCTTTAGATTAACTTTGAAAACACTAATGTTAAAGGTTACTAACTTTTTTAAAATAATAACATCTATCGCTGATGTCAAACAAGGTCTAGTCATTGTGGATGATATGTTAGGATGGAAAGAGATAGGATAAAAAGTTTAATCTCTAAATTATTTTCACAATCTCAAATATTCATAGTTGATTTGTTTTTATAATCATCATTTACTTTGCCTCAAAACAAAATTCTCATTTTTTATAGTCCTAAAAATAAAGTTTTGGTTTCTTTCAAGGTAGAAATCTTACTTGGTCCTTATATATTTTTTAAAAATGCTTCTCATAGGCGTAAATTATTTTAAGTGCTTTTCAGATCCATATACTTTTTAACTGGTGCACGGATAGTCCCTCCGGTAATTTTTCCAGCTAAAACTCCGGCATAGTGTCCATTTCTCTTTAATTTTTTTTGAAGAAAAATTCATGGTAGGTATGCCGAAGTTTTGGTTAGAAAAGTCAACATGGGTTTTATCCGGGCACCATTTAGAAAATATAAGGACCTAACAAGCACATAAAATAATTTAGGGATATGAGAAATACTTTGGAAAAAATATAATGACTTAGTAAGACTTTTACTCTTTCTTTTATGGAATAGTTTGGCCGTTTGGGTGGTCCATATTAATTATCTCCCCCCTACGTAAATCTCAACCAATAATTTTTTATTTATCATTTATAAAATGAATACTCCGTAATTAATACTAGCTCCGACATAGTTATTTGTCCCGTTTGAATTTTTCAACTCTAATTGGATGAACTTTTTTTATTTTAATAAAAAAAGCAAAACTGATAACCAAACCAATGGAGACCTAGTCAATCAGCCAACAATTCGCACGGAGTATATTTTTACACTCCGTAAAATATTAAACTCGACCGAACCAGTTTTCTTTAATTTTTTAACATTGGGATACTTTAATTTACCGTTTTTAAATCAAATCAAATCAGAGAAAACTACATATAAATTCTAATGTGGGCATAAGATAATAAATTCTACAAATTTTACATATAACTTTTATGCTCCGTCTACAAATTAATGAGAGTAATAACTATTTTCTTAGTAACATGATGAGCATTTTTTTAAAGAATATTTTCTAGCTATATGCAAAAAGTTCATTAAAATTTTTGGATACACCATATAAAGACTCTATAAATTGGTATGAACGCACGTCTAATGATTTATTCCATTTTTTCAACCATTCACAAATTCTTCATTCCACCCAGCCATTGCAATTCACACCCAATCATTTATTGGTCTGTAGATATCACATCTGACAAGTATGAAGAATGCCAAGTTGAATAATTTGTATCCCTTATCAAATTAAATTCTCATTTGATAATGTATGATTTCTATATTTTAATCATTAATAATTATATTTATGTATAAATATATGCTATAAAAATAAAGTAATTTAAAACTATATTTCATAATATATCTATTGATATAAAATTTATATGAAAATTTAATGTATCTTTTCGTGATATATTGCTAAAGTTAAAAAAATTTATCTGCAAAAATCAAATTAGAAAGTTAATTTTAGGAAGGAGGAAGTATTATCATTGGCAAAAAATTTAGTTCATAGTACCACTTTTCACCTACAAAAATAAATACGGTTTATAAGAATAATAACAAATTCATCAAAAATTTAAAAAAAAATAAATAAATAAGGACCTTAAAGATGGTGTATATGTAAGTATTGGGAAGTAAGGATTTTATTTCCTTAAAATCAAAAAATAATAATTTCACGACAAACTAACTTAACTTTTGTTGACATGTTATTCGTAGAAATCTCATACACAAAAGATATACACGAATTTCTTCTGTGGTATCACAATTATTTTCAAAGTTCAATCAAATTATTTTACCCCCACAAAAGTTGAGACCGATGATTAATTATCATTTTTTCTCATATTCCTAAGTTGTTGACTGCCATTTTCTCATATTGCACAGGTGTTGCGACCCGTGCATGAGTTGTGTTATTAGAGCATTCACAATGGCAAGTAAGAAATAAAATGGCACACGGTGATATTGATATGGAAAGGTTCAACCAATAAAACACAGTCCAATCAGCGTGTGACATGAGAATGGAGTGGCATGTAATGCAGTGGCAAGTCATTGTTTTTATCAATTTTACTTCTTTACACATTTTAATTATTTAAATTTATTTTATTTATATTTTTTCAAATAAAAGTAAAAATATTTCAAAATTATTTAAATTATTTAAATTATTTAAATTTATTTTGTTTATATTTTTATAAACTATACTCTTTTTAAATATATTTCTTATTTAAAAAAATAAACTAAAAAATAGAAGAAGTAGGGTTTTTTCAAATTTTACATTTTTTTACATATTTCTTATTTTTACTATTGAGTATTAAAAATAACTTTATTTTATTTTTTCCAAAAAGATACTTCTACTTTTTAAAAATCTTTTATTTTATGAAGAGAAAAAAAGAAAACAAGGAATAGTTGCCTCGCCCATGACTTGGCAAGCATGGCAAATCCCTTCAGCCTCGCGAGGCATTTTAGTAACTTGGCTTATGTGGCAGGCGTGGCAGTGGCACAGCCACGCCACTGCTAGTGCTCTTAATGCCCGGTCGTGGAAGACTTTATTATTTTTATTTGATTAATTATTGTACGTTAGATTTTTCTCAGTTCTTTCCCTTGATGTATTTGTTGAATCGACAGGATAGATAACCTAGTTATGTTAGGATTGGGATACTTCTTTTACCTATAAATAGATAACCTAGTTTAATATTGAATAACAAGAAGAAGTTCAACCATTCTTTACTTTCTCTCTTTCTCTCTTCCCTCACCTCACGTTTCTTTTCCTCTCCCCACAACCGCCGTACGTTACTCTTGTAGTAACAAAGAAGGCTCTAAAAAAACTACGCCTGCACGTGAGGAGGCGTGTTAAAATATAAAAAATTTTCCTGAGCCACAACCACAAGTACATTGGTTAAATTGGTTCCTTGACAAGTACATTGATATTGTAAAAAAATTAAGCATTTTACAAAAAAATGTTCACTTACACGTCAATAAAAAGTGTGAGAAGATCCACATTTTACACGTCACCTTAGCATCATAGAAAAACAACTCTTCTCTATAAATTTGTAACTCTAAACCATCATGCATTTTATTGCGGAGTGGGAGTCAATCAATTAAATACTTCCAAAAGGTTGTGAGAAGAAAAAATTTAGAAAAATCTTTTTTTTTTTGATACAACATAAAATTATGTAGAATGTTATCAAATTTTTTTAGAGAAATATAGACGTCGGGTTTGTTATCATAGTCCTAAGGTCCACATGTGTAATGTAGACCTTCTCACATATTTTTTATGAACTCGTAGTTGAATCTTTCTTGTTTCACAAGGTCCAATAGGTTTAAACATTCCGTGTCTCAAAGTCTATAAAATAAATATGACCTAAGGGCCACAAAAGAGTTCTCCATAGACAACGTGGCTAGAAATGTGTAAAAGAATGTAGAATTCTATGTTGGAATTTCTACATTGGAAAACAAAGAAAAATACTACTAGCATATATAGAAGGATAAAACTCTACCGATTAATTTAAGCTTTTGGGTTAGAAATTAAAGTGGATCCTAACTTTATATGCTAGTCGCTAATTTTACCCGACACTCTGTCTGTTGCTTTCGATCCACCAGAATTTTAACATGTATCAGAGCAGCTCCGGTCCGAATTCGATCCTTTCTGATTGTTTGGATGCAGGTTTAGCAATATTAGCTACCCGTGCGTGGTTTGGATTAAGTTGGCTATAAAAGATTGAGAAACCGCCACTCATTGTTTGGGTTAGCTATAAGAGATAAAGATACTACCGTTTGTCCAAGTGCAAACTATGTCTTGCTAGTTACCACTTGAGGTGAGTATTACTTCCCGCATTGGAAAACAAAAAGAAATATCACTAGCCTATATAGAAGAGTGAATTGCTAGCTATCAGCTTGAGCTTTTAAGTTAGAAGTTGGATATTGATTTATATGCAAGCAGTTAATTTTACCCGACACTCTGCATGTGGTTCTTCACCCACCAAACTCTTAACAATCATAAAAATAATCTAGAGTTTTCTAGAGAAATATAATGTTAGAGTCCTTAGAATTGAATGAAAGTAAGGAGCTGTTTGACAACTTCTGAATAGGTAAGTGTTGAACCAGTAAGAAGTCTGAACCATTAAGTGCTGAACCAGTAAGAGGTCTGAACCATTAAGAGCTAGTATATTGCTTAACTATTCAGAGGCAAATGTCTGATCAATTCAGATAAGAGGTTTTAACCATTCAGACTCTGTATAATACTTAACCATTCAGAGGCAAATCTCTTAACCATTCAGACATCTGAACCATTAAGAGGCTGAAACAAACAGTCTGAACCATTAAGTGCTAAATCATTCAGACATCTGAACCATTAAGAGGCTGAAACAAACAGTCTAAACCATTAAGTGCTGAACCATTCAGATATCTGAACCATTAAGAGGCTGAAACAAACAGCCCCTATTCCCCCTAAACCTGGGAAAATATCATCCAGTCTATTTTTAACCCGAGACCTGAGCTGAAAATATTTGATTTTGAATAAAGATTTTGTTGACCAAACTTGAGGTTGACCGAACCATAAATAAACCCGCCAAAAATAGGTCAAACCTGATTGAACTTGAATCCGACATGATCGACTCGCTAATATAAGAGTTTTTTCAAAAACCATCCACTTCAATATGAAATATTATGTTATACAAATAAGGTTAGAATTATATTTTTTTCTTACTACTTTTTTTAGTGTATAAATTTATATTTTAGAAAAAATTAATGATATTGAATAATTATCTTACTTTTTTCAAAAACTTGGGTATATTTAATTTTATTATTCGTAGTATTGATTTATATGTCCAAAATTTACGTAAAATTTAAAATAAAAAATTAATAGATTTAATAAATAATTTTTGATATTTAATTTTTATTCAATGCAAAATGCAAGTGTTAATATGAATTTAAAAATTTTAAAAGTAAAGATATTAACCGTTAGGTCGATCTTAAACCAATGATGCTGAGTCATGACCTAAACCCAAACTCAGACTAATCCATACCCAAAGTAAAGTGTAGAATAGTCTAGAATATTCTAGTATTATGTAGAGTTCTCTAAATTCTTCAATGTTTGTAGAGTTTGTCTAAAAAAATTGACTAAATTTTATAATCGGTCATTTTTAATTGGGGTAATCTATATACTTCTTTTACGGATGATATTCCATAGATAGTTTCTTTTAAACCTTCTGTCATGTTGATATTAAATTGAAGGCAAAAATATAATTTGGAAATGATCATATAACTTTTTTGTTATGGATTAAAGGTTAAAAAAGTTGATTGTAAAATGTAAAAACTGAACAAATACTCATTTTTGAGTAGCAAAATACTCATTTTTTAGCATTAATTTTAGAACAACGAGTATTCAGTCGTTCAAAAATGGGTATTTAGTTACTCGTAAATAAGTATTCATCACGAATTTACGAGAAAATCATAAACCTAATCGTACGATATATATATATATATATATATATATATATATATATATATATATATATTGCGTATGTAAAAAATGCCATAATAGAATCTACATAGTTATTAAGAAAATGAAATTTTGTAGGTGAAAAGTACTTTAGAGTGGTGCATAAAAATGGAAGAAAACGAAAATATGAAAAATTTCTATTTTTTTAAAAATTAAGGTACTAATATCATCTTGATTACATTTCCAATTCCATCCCCTAATATACATTTTGTAATTTTTAGCACAAAAATAATTCAGTGAATTAAAAAGGAGAGAAATTGATTGAGTCTAAATTAATAATACACCGTACTGTACTGAATTTCGGCTACAAAGCATCAATCGGCCTTTGTTTCTTGCCACCGTCTACCGCAAGCAACTCCATTTCCCTCAGCCTCTTCACGCCGCCGCACGTGGCGGCGATCTCCCCGCCGGTCCCGCTAGCGTCGTCTCGGACATTACTATTCCATATGTTCACTCCGAAAAGCCGGACCACTTGAACCGGGCTCTTTTGCAGACACCCGATTGTCCTGTACCGAACCTGCGGCGGCGGAGGTGGCACGCCACCCCCTCCCACCGCTTTCCAGTCTATGTATAGCTGCTTTTCGTGACCGGTAGACCGGAGGAAGAAAACGACGTCGCCCGGTCTGAGACTCTTCTCCTTCACGAACCGGCTCCACCCTTTGGTCAACACGTAGCTTTGACTGCTGTTCCAGTACGAGTACCGGAATCTCCACACTTTTCCCTCATGGTCCTCGAAATTTAACAAAATCCCTTTCGGCCCCTCCCCGCCGCCGCCGCCGCTCTGCAGCGGGAAGTGCTTCTCGGCGTGCTGTTTCGGGATGACGAGCCGGTTCAGCTTTCCGACGTCACTCGGCGTCACCGCCTTCTCGAAAAGCGGTTCACGAGATGCATTCCCGCTTTTCTTGGCGGCAGTCGCGGCGGCGGCGGCACCGCCGCCACCGCCGGCCTTGAACTGCTCCAGCTCGTCATCGTAAGTGTGCTTTCGGAGCATGTCGACGATCTCGAGCTTGGAGTGGGACCCGAGAAACGCGGACTCGAAACCGCCGCCATCGTCTGATAGAACTTGCGGCGGTTTGTAGTTTGTGACGGCGTCGCGGCCGCGGAAGCGGAGGGCCGCGACGTCGTAAGCCCGGGCGGCCTCCTCCTCCTCGTTGAACGTCCCCAGCCAAACCCTCTGGTGCTTCTCGTAGATTTGCGCGCCCCACCGGCCGTTCGGCTGCGGGACCACGCCTTTGAACCTCGACGACGGCAGCTTCCGGCAAGACTCGGCCTCGACGCCGCTATCCGCAGCGTCGATGATCGCGCTCGTTCCGCTTCCCATCCGGCATAAACTCTCCGGCCATTTCGCCGGCGCCGGGAAAGACGCCGGCGCCGCCGCGGAGTCGCTGGATGTGCTCTCATTCTCTGGACTGGTACTTATTTCCATTATTTTTCTTATGAAAATGGAGTGTTAAGGTAAGTTTTAGAGCAAAGATAGAGAAAAGGGGCAGAAATGATGAGTATACTATTCTGGGTATAATATTCCTAAGGAGAATAAGGGTACATATATATAGGAGTTGCCATATTTGTAAATGCCACTTTTCATCATCATTAAATTAATGGTTTAATGTTGGGATTAGAAAATGTAGCAATTATTAGTACCTACGACTCTCTTTGTGTTGATTGACTTTTCTGAGTCAAATTTAACAAATCTTAAATTTTAATTATTCTCAATTTGTATGACATATATGTATAATAAAATATAATTTTGAAACTTTTTCAATAAGATAAATATAATAAAATTATTTTTATGTGAAAATACATTATTACTTTTATTTAATTGAAACTCAAAATTTATTCAATTTGACTCGAAAAAATCAAATTTTACAAATATTTGAAATGAGTATTATGTACAATTATTATTATTATTATTATTATTATTATTATTATTATTATTAATTTTATCGTGTGGGTCAACCCTATATAAAAACAAGCCAAGGTATGAACTAGGAAGATTCATGGGGTGGGTCGAGTAAATAATTGGCTACAACTCATTCTTTTAAAAGATGTGATATTTTTTTTCTTTTATAAATACAACTTGTTCATTGACTAATTAAACACGTTTGGAAAATTTCCAACACTAGAGATTCCGAGGATGCACCGCCCACCGTGTGATTTTCCGGTTTTCCCCTGCATAACAAATTGCTCCCATAGGATATAAATGTCACAAATATGGGCTAAATTCCCTAAAAAGTCACTTTTACCCTTTACTTTTTTATACCTTACCTATCACATCATACCTTTTTACTAATAATCTATCCATCAAATAATACTTTTACCCATCACATCAAAAGATATTTTTGAAAATTCAATACCAAAGTACACTCCCCTTAAATCCCCTCTCAAAAACCAAAACTCTCATGTTTTTCGGGACGGAGGGAGTATAAAATAAGAGAATACATGATTATACTCCCTCCGTCCCTAAATAAAGTTCCATTTTTGACTTTTTGAGGATTTAAGGGATGGATATTTTGGTGTTGACTTTCCAAAAATACCATTGATGTGATGTGTTAAAGTAAGATGTGATAGGTATATTATTAGTAAAAAGGTATGATGTGATAGGTAGGGTATGAAAAAGTAAGGGGTAAAAGGGGTTTTTTAAGGGAAAAAAGAAGTTTATTTAGGGACAAAGAAAAAACGGAAGATGAACTTTATTTAGGGACGGAGGGAATATTATTCTTACAAATTATTAATGAAGATAAGTAGAGAAATAAAAAAGTACCTTGAATAGGGAAGTGAGATGTTTGATCCCAAAGTCCTATATTGCTTTTCAATCCCATCCTTAATATGGAATATTACTTACTTAAGCCACGATATTTTGGCTTGGAAAAATAAAATTCAATGTTAGAAAAAAATAGTGAAATTTGCACTAAATAGGACTAAAATATAATGACTTTCTTAATGTAGGATTTAAACTTTTTTATTCACTAAACTAGTATTACACCCCGTGCGTTGCACGAGTCATAATTACGTTACTAAATTAAGATGATTTTTAAGAATATAAATTTTGAAAGATTTGTTTATAAACTATATTACTCGTATAAATCGTGTGAGCATTCACTTCGTTACATATCAGGATCGCCATTGTGATTTATTACTCCTAAAACTGCAACATATAGTTGTCCATAACTAAATACAGGTTTTACACCCCTATAGCCATTTCTCTTATTCGTACTTAATATTTGCACAGTTTTACACCATCATTTAAATAGTTTGTTTCTTAATTGGAAATTATATAAATTACGAAATTGTAAATATAATGCATTGATTACAAATTTACACTTTAACGTGATTATAACCTTTTATGGACAAATATTATTTTTAGTTGAATGATAATCATTTTTTTTATTATATCAATTCCAATTTTATAAAAAAGTTCAGTATCAGAAAAGAAGTTTATATAAATGAGATTTATTATATTTTGTTTCCTTTTTAGAAATATATTAGGCATGCGCAATTTCCTTTAATTTATCATTCTAAATAAGAATAAAGTGATTAAGTAATTATGCATGGTTAGTTTCTTAATTGGAAATTATATAAATAACGAAACTATAAATTTAATTCATTGATTAAAAAATTTACACCTTAATGTGATTATTACCTTTTATGGACAAATATTATTTTTAATTGAATGGTAATCATTTTTTTATTATATCAAATCCAATTTTATAAAAAAGTTCGGCATCAGAAAAGAAGTTTGTATAAATAAGATTTTTTTATATTTTGCTTCGATTTTAGAAATTTATTAGGCATGTGAAATTTCCTTTAATTTATCATTGTGAATAAGAATAGAGTGATTAACTAATTATGCATGCGAAATTATTCTAAAAAGGAAACATCCAATCATAGCCGTAGATCTTGTTTGTGAAATTTGTCTCTTCCTTTTTTATCAGAATTAAGTAATTATGCATGCGAAATTTACTTTAATTTATCATTCTTAAAAGTATTTTCTTTTAGAGATAGAGTGATTAAGTAAATAATTACCTATTTAATTATGCGTAAATAAATACTTTTTGATAAAATAATTAGGCATAAATTATTCCAAATAATTAGGCGTAAATAATTACATATTTAAAAAGGAAACAAAATATAAAAAATCTCCTGCACCGTTCCTTCCTTTTTTATCACAATCAAGTAATTAGACAAAATTGGTTAGGAAACAATTTTGTCCCTTCCTTTTTTATCAGAAATAAGTAATTATGCATGCGAAATTTACTTTAATTTATCATTCTAAATAGGTAATATTACACAACCAATCATAGCCGTAGATCTTGTTTGTTCCTTGATATCAACGGTGCAGGAGAAGAGTGCATTGGGCGGGAAAATAATTCCCTTGCTTTTAAGAATAGAGTGATAGGACTTAATAATGACCTAGTGAGAGGAATAATGTCCAGTAATGCTAGACATTTACTTGAATAACGACTACTTGATAATGACCAAAAGTCCTACATTAGGAAATAAAAACATATGATCCTATATTGGGAAAATCATTATGTTTTAGTCCTATTTAAGTAAATTTCTCAAAAAAATAAAGGGCCTCATTCCGAGAGTCCAATCAGACCTGGCACGACGGTCACTAAGATTAGGGAAAATATTATGAACAACGACTTGGAAAAAACTGAAATGAAATTGAATAAACCGGAAGGATTTGGATACTAAAAACTTAGAAAAAACAAACATAAATGAAAGAAACTGAAAAGATTTAGAAAAAAATAAAAAGAAGTTAGAAAATGTTGGAAGTTAATTTTTTCAAGCAAAAGAGCATACTCTTAATCTGTAATGCCCTAAAATATACTTTAAAATTTATAATGAATTTCTAATAAATTGCAATTTTAATCTAACCTCAATTAATTAAGAACTGAAACTACGAGCCTAAAGTAATTTATTTTTAAAACTATCTTTTTATGGTCAAATTTGAATTTGAATTATAGGTCTAGAGGAGACGAGTCCAACAATGTATCTCATGTGTAGATGTGAGTTACAAAATTTAGTAGTTCTACCGCCCCAAGATGGAAAAGAAAGTAAAATAAAAGAAAAAAAAGTCAGTCATAACGTCAAAATAATATATTCAATATTGGTGCCGTTCGATAGGTCTTGTAAGAAGATGACCAACGACATAATGTTTTGCCAAATTTATACTCATGCGTTAAAAGTTACGAAATAAACAGATGTTAAAGTAGAATAAATAAATGGATTGAATTTATAATATAATAATACGGGAGAAATTTGTGAATTGGAGTAAAAAATTCTGCAAATATCGAAATAGGAGTTCCAAGTGTTTTAAGACCAAACTAGGAGTTTACACTGGTTGTCATTGCTACACTGCAACACGCACTACATTGTCATATTGCAATTGCCATACTATCACTCTCACACTGTCATCCGTCACCACCCGCCACTAGAGTACTGTTGCAGATCGTCAATGGTTGACCAATCATACTATCATATTACATTGTCATCACTTTTTTCATCACACTACCAAAACGTACTCTTATGTCACAATCCTATTAGGCTCATATTTTAGTTTTAAAAGATGTAGGATTCTTATTTTGGTATTTTCATATTTTTTTATTTTTGAAAAATTTCTAATAATATATACTCCCTCCGTTCCTGAGTATTTGTCCATTTTTGATTTTTTTCGGTCAAAATTGGTAAACTTTGACCTCAAATTAAATAAAAATGATATTAGATATTGATACAAAAAGAGTTTTATTAGATTTGTTATGTCAAATGTTTTCAAAATATTATTTTATTTCATTAAAATACAATGTATATTTTACTTAATTATAGGTCAAAGGTTAAAAACAGTTGACCAGAAAAAGTCAAAACTGAACAAGTATTCAGGGACGGAGGTAGTATTAAACAATAAACCTAAACTCCATCTATCCTAAAATGTTTTTCCTGTTTGATTGATTTTATTTTCAATTCAATTTATTTGATTGTAGGAATAAAATTAAAAAAGTAAAATGTATATATTTAAAAACTACATCAAAAGTTCTGCAAAGAAGGGGTGACAAAATTATACTCCCTTCGTCCCAAAAAGATTGGTACATATTGACTTTTTGGGAAATTAAGGGAGGGATATTTTGGTGTTGACTTTCCAAAAATATCCTTGATGTGATGGGTAAAAGTAGGATGTGATGGGTAGATTATTAGGAAAAAGGTATGATGTGATAAGTAGGGTATGAAAAAGTAAGAGGTAAAAGTGGTTTTTTAATAGAAATGTAAAGGACTTTACGGGACGCAGTTTTTTCGAAAAGCGTCGGACTTTTTGGGACGGAGAGAGTATTATTTTATCAAATAATTAACGAAAATATGTGAAGAAAGTACTTAAATTTTGACGGTGTGATAGTAACTGAAAGAATATTTTAGGATGGGGGGAGTATTACATAAGAGTACTGTGAGAAGCAAATGCATAAACATATATATGCATCTAGGATCACATCGCAGCCAGGTCGTCGTTGCATTTGCTCTCCCCACCGCCG